GCAGCCAGGTGATCTGGGGAGGCCTCTAGGAGATGCCTCCTCTCCTGGGTCTTTAGGGGAAACTAAAGGAGCTGAAAGAGGGCTCCCACAGACTGAGACCCAGAGATACTCTCCCCTGCCACATTCCACTGATCTAGGGACTGCCTGCCTCGAGTTGAGGCCCTTCCTTTGTAAAGACTAAATTAAGAATTTCAGCCCGGCCCCAGGCGTGGCTCAGTGGTTGAGCGTTGACCTAGGATCCAGGCGACTGGGGTTCGATTCCCAGTCAGGGCACATGCCCAGGTTGCAGGCTCAATCCCCAGTCAGGGGTGTGCAGGAGGTGGCCTACCAATGACTCTCTCATCATTGATGTTTCTATCTCTCTCCTCTCCTTTCCTCTCTCTGAAATCAATAAAGATATATTAAAAAAAAAAAAGAAAAAAAGAATTTCAGTAAGTTACTGAAACAATGGAAGGTCTCCTTGAAAAGAAGGTTCAACTGATGTTTCAAGAACTTGAAGCCTCTTTCTGTAGCAACTTCTACTTAGGAAATAAAATAACTAGATTTAGCTGTTTCACTAGATTTACTAATGGACAGAAGACATGGTTTTCCAGGCCCCCAATTATTATTCATGTGATGATGAACAGATCACCCCCCTAAGCAACAGTTTCTTCTTCTATAAGATACAGATGATGGCCAACCTGGTCTAAAAGGCTGTTTTAAGGAGAGCATTTGTATCTCATTTAAACCTCAACAAATCTGTAAAAGAGACTAATCCACCTCCATTTACACCGGAAACTAAGGCTCAGAGAGGACATGATTTGCGCAACATCAGAGGCTGTAGTGGTTCACCCAGGGTCTGCCCGATTCTAAAGACTGGGCTTCAAGCACTATTCTGCACTCCTGTAAGGACAGGCTAGGGAGTGATAAGACAGGAAAGACACTGTGTCTCACATTTCCTTGGTATCCCATAAAGCCAGGGCAATTTCAGGCCTACTTTAGCCCTGACAATAGGAAATTCCCATTTCTCTCTTAAAGCTGAGGAAAGAAAAAGTTGGTTCATGCTGCATCTTTCCTCTAAGGAGCTGGATGGGTTACCCACATAGGATCAGTGGGTAAAAGGTCACTGGCAACATTGGCAAGAAAAGGAAACTGAGGCTCAGTTTGGTGCCAGGGTTTACACAGATGCTTGGGCAAGAATGGCAGTCTTCTACCGTGACATTCTCTTCGTAAGTACTCATGCTTGCTTCTGGGCTGATTCCAGCTTGCAGCAGACAGCTGGCTGAAGGATGCAGAAGATTATCAGACAGGAATCCAAACTGGAAAGCTCAAGGACTCTGGCTTGTCATTTTCTTATTTAGGCCAAGATCCAAGCACAACTGTTAACTTTTAGCCCCTAGGCAGAAACTCTTGTCATACCAGTTTCCTTTGCAAGCTTCTTCTCTCAGAGTATAAAGACAATTGTCATCACCATCCTCAGGGTTGGAAATTTGGGTTGTTTTATCAATCTCAGGGTGGACATCGGAATCAGATAGCTGACTTCAAATTCTGGTTCTATCATTTACCAGCGAGCTAACTTTGGGCAAATCACCATCTTTCTCTACAGTTAGAATATCTTACAGGGTGGTTGTGAAAATTACGAGAGAGCACATTTTCAAAATGTTTAGCGCAATGCCTTACAATAGAAGGCCTGAATCAAAATTTAAAAAATATCTTTTGATGTCATTTATATAAAAAGTGAGGCCTTCTCAGAAGAAAAACTGAAAAACTATATCCATCCACCCTATGGCAGTCTTCTCAACAAATGGTATTACTTATAAGGTGCACATCTCTCCTGGAACACCAAAACACACTGGCTGGAAAGCACCCTGCTCCGAATTCTATGGTCCTGTGGCACAGACTTACAGACCTGCCCGCTCCCCGCTCTTTCTCCCTCCCCCCATCACACACCTCCTCGAGGGCCCTGAGAGTTCTATGATTCTAGACCTCCACAACTGTGGCCCATCTGCTGTCAGTCACAGAATGCTGCTCTTTCATTATTTATTCATTACAGTTAACATTTACTGTTTATTATGTGCCAGGCACCATTCTAAGAGCTTTATGATTATTAAAACTCACTGAATCCTCCAATCAACCTTATGAGGGCAGATAAAACTACCCAAGAGAAGTTAAACTGTCCAAGGATACAAAATAACACAGTGAGGCTAATCTCAACTCTGTAAAACATTATTACATCAAAGTCATTTGATATAAGGAAAACTCTTGGTAAACATAACTTATAATGACTGAAGAACATTCCACATCTCCTGAGATGGCGGTTCTCCTTTTAATCTGTTACTGTGGCAAATTACACTGAATAGGATTTTTTATTGCTAAACTAACCTTGCACTCCTAGATAAAACCAACGTGGGGATGTTATATTCTTTTAATATAATGCTGAATTCAGTTAATATTTTGTTTAGGATATTTGCATTTATAGAAGATTAGTCTGAAAATTTCCTGTCTTGTGTGGTCTCTATAGGGTTTGGTAAGAAGATTGTGACAGCCTCTTACAATGAACTGGAGAGTAACCTCTTTTTCTATTCTTTGGAACAGCTGATGTAAGACAAGCTGTTTCTTCCTTAAGTGATGGAACTAGCCAGTAAAGTTGTCTGGGACTGAGATTTCTTTGTGGGAAGGTTTTTAATCATGAACTCAAATTTTCAAAATAGTTATGGGAACATTCAAGTTTTCTATTTCTTCTTGTGTCAATTTTGGTAAGTTGTTCTATGTTTTTTTTTTCCTTTTTTATCTACATTTTCACAATTTCTGGGATGGAGTTTTTAAAAATAACATTATATTATCTATTTAATGACTATAGGATCTGTAGTGTACCTCTTATATTCCTGTTACTATTTGTGTTTCTCTATTATCTGTTTCTCTTCCAAGTTTCTGATCCATTTCCTCAGCGGTTCAGCAAGTTTGTTAGTCTTTTCAAAAAATAGTGTTTGGTTTTGATGTCCCTAAATTTTCTATTTCATTAATTTCTGCTCTTGTCTTTATGGCTGCCTTCCTTTTACTCTCTTTAGGTTTTTATTTGTTTTGTTTTATAATTTCTTGAGCTAAATGCTTAGCTTATTACTTTTTGGCCTTTCTTCTTTTGTAATACATGAACTTAAAGGCTGTAAAATTTTCTTTAAATACTGCAGCCTTCAAATTCAAATGATATCAGGACAAGATTGGATGTAGGTATTCATCTCACCTCTTTAGTTCAATCTTCTCCCAGATATCGGTCATTAGTAATTTTCTATGATTTGTATATTTTAATCAGCTTTAAGTTACCTTCAGCGGGAGAACTTGTTCAAATTACTTAGTCTGACTTTACCAAAAGGTGATGACCTACATAATTTTCCCATATAGGAATACTATATAGATGTCCTATATATAAATATTATAAACATCTAACACCTATCATTATACATAAATCTTTGCTGCATTTTAAATCTTTTCTCTTTAAGACAGATTCCAAAAGCAGAAATGTTGAGTAAACATTTTTAGGTCTCTTGATACTTCCAGATACATTATGTTCACTTACACTATAGTCACCAGTGTATGAATATACCCATTTCCCTGTATTCTCCCCAGCAATGAGGACTCTTTTTAAAATACCTGACTTGTTTAATACTTATTTGAAGTTTTTAGACCATTTGAGAATCCAAATGATTTTTATTTTTTTGTGTATTTATATAAGATACTTATAACTGGTTACAGACTTCAGGGACACCAACCTTCTGCCTTTGAGAATTTGCTGCTAAATGTAAAGAGCACATTTCACCTTCCTGGTGAGTTTTGCACATGCCTCTCTAGAAGAGGCTGTCAGGGGCCCTGGCCAAAGAGCAGCAGCCTTGCTTAGACGGTCAGTGACATGACGGAAAAACTACTATTCATTCACTCATTCAATCTACAGGGTGGGGCAAAAGTAGGTTTAGAGTAGTTTGTATGGAAAATAATATAATGAATAAATAATACAAGAATAAACGGTTTCACGTACTCACAACTGCAAACCTACTTTTGCCTCACCCTATATATTTACAAAGCTCCTAAAGTATACAGCCTATAGTAGGTGAGGAGTAAATATTAGTTGAATTAATGAAGGGCAACCTGGTGTGGATCAGGGATGCCCTCACAGACCTAAAATCTCGTGGGGGAAATAGACATCAAAAGATCACTGAGAAAAATATATAATTATGAACAAAAATATATATGCAATGAATAAAAAGTAGTATGTTCTATGACAGAATATAATGAGGGACCCAAATGAAGGGGGGCAGGGAGAGCACAGATAGCCTCTTTGAAAATGTGACATTTAAACTGAGATGAAGGATAACAAACAGTTAGCCAGAGTAGGGGGAAGAGTGTTGTGCACAGAATAAACGGCCTGTGTAAAGGCCCGGGAGCAGGAATGACCATGAGAGCTGGCTATCACAATCTCAATTTTCACATGTCACTTGCTCCTTAAGTCAATGGGAGTACGGAGGTGAGGAATGGCAAAGATTCACAGCTCGGGAACACTAAAGGGAGAATAAAAGGAAATTAACTGAAGTTTTAAAGAGGCTTGCAAGATAGCACCAGGATCTCCTACACGCCTCCTGCTAAGAGTACACACAGTCAGAATTTTCAAAACTTGATATCTGAACAGTGATACTGACAGGGCCAGTTGCTTTATATACAAAATTGCCTTTGCTTGAGAAAAGGCCTCATATTTCTAAGCTGTTTCCAGGACTGATCCTACCTTAGGAAGATACAGTTTAATAAAAAAATATTAATCACAGAGAACTAAACAGGATGCAGTCTTTTTACCAAAAAGCATGAAATCAATCATTTCACCTCAGGATACACTTTTGGCAGGAAGGCTGAGGTCTGCCTTGGAAAACAGTCACTTGAAATCTGCCTAGGGAAGCCAGACCAGTGTCCCCAAACACATGACTTCTAAGCACGTTTACAACGGACAAAGCAGACATGGAGCAAGGAGGCCAACATACTGTTCTCGCGGACCAGGCAGAACTCCCAAACGCTCTGGCTCTCCAAAGTGCTCTCCAGGTCCACGGCGACATTGGGTTCACTCTGCTTCTCCAGGCGGTACTGAGGGCCTGGAAGATCAAAGGGGCAGGAGGAGGGGAGGAAGTCTGAAACACTGAACTTTACATTGTAAAAACACCACATACTGGCAAAAAGCTGTTAAAGCGTTAGGAAAATGCTGAAGTCTATCTTGAGGGTCTAGCTATCCAGGATGGGGAGAGTTTGGATATTTTTCACACAAGGTTTCACACACTTGTCTGTTCTACTATCAAGTCTGTTTTTGCTCAGTTCTCCCTGAAACAAGGTGAGAGGTAGATGGCCTTTGGGTCAGGCTGACCTGTAATCGCAATGTGGTACATGGTTTCTCAGATATGAGCATGTAACCTACCCTTTTCTGAGCCTGTTCCCTAATAAGGAATACTTATACCCTGAAGGGTTATTATGAACAGTGGCAATGACATACTCTAAGTATAAAGAAATAAGTACAGAAAGGAAAAATACTTAGTAACTACACATTCCTACAAAAGTAGTTATTAGTAATCATTATATAGCAATGAACAATCAATTTGAGCAGGAATAAGGTATGTTTAGAACTCTAACATGATATTCCAAAAATTAAAATAAAATTTAAAAATCAGGTGAGGTTAAAACAAATCTCAGGTTTCTGGGTTATCATTATAGGACAATGGATGCTGACTCATGTTTTTATTGAAACATTTGTGAAAACACAAAGACAAAGGTTTAATAATCCTGGAAACAGGAATACTGGCTATCCTCACACAGGGGGTTCTGGCAGATCTTAATAAAACACTGGGACATTTTATACATTTATTCCTGTATTTCTTTGTCAAGCCAAATGACAATCTTGTTCTCAGATAACACCTAATGGGTCCAATGGTCAGATTCAAAAGACTGCTCCTGTTGTTAATGGTTATTGAAAAGATTAGAGGCGTAAGGAACTGTCTCATTGTTTTGACCAGAAAGGCGTGTGTGGTCAGACAGCGGAGAGGTGTGAGCGATCTGAGGGGAGCTGAGGCCTCCCAGGAGGAACCAGTACTTTTAGATATGTCCTTGACCTGCTGTCAACTTAACCAGTGCTTCTTCATCAGTTGAAGGCAATTCGCTCACCTCAAGTCATTTTCCTCTCCCATAGTCTATGTTCATCTGTGGCACTGTAGTTCCATGGTATATCTGAACTTTTCTTTAACTTAATTTCATCAGCATTTCTGCCAGTTTTGAGTTCTTACATTCAGTTCTTTTTATGATATTTACAGCTTTTAAACCTTTATTAAGTAAACAATGCTCAAAACACATATAACTGTGTATTTAAGCAAGTACATGCTCAGAAGTCTGCACAATTCTTATAAACTCTCATACTCTGTATTCAGGTCAAGAATGTATTGTATTTCAACATTATACATAATTAAATTTAATTTCAAAAAGACTAAGCACATAAAGGTATGGAAATGCAGATAATTCTTGGTCTCTGCTACCTGTCACCTGTCAGTGACAACATTTGTCAATTGCCAGGCATGTCTGCTGCTGATCACTGCATGCCTTCACATTCACTGGTGGAAGTAATCACAGGAAAATCATGCCCAGCTGAACTTTAAGAAAACTTAGCTGGTGAGAGATTCCTATGCACCTTCCCTACCACCCACCTTTCACAGCTGTGGGCGTCCTCAGCCCACTGGGGGGAGTCCCCCTTGAACCTAGAGAGCTGCTTTCTAAGACACTGGCCTATTAAACAAGCTCTGACTGTCTCACCTCCAATAACTCTCAGTAACACTGTGTGTAAGGCACTGACATCTGCTTCTATGAATTTTCAGTGATATCTGGGTACAAAGTTTAGCTACAATAAATCATTTTTTCATGATAGCTAAAAACAGGGAAAAACCTAGATGTAATAAAATATTGTGAAAAATACAGTTAAACAAAATATTGTGAAATATTAAAAGTAATGATGTAAAAATATTTAATTTTATAAAACATGTTTATAATATGCTATTTTATGAAATAAAATTATAACAAAATATGTGCAGGATAACTGCAATTATGAAAAATATATGTAAAGTCACACGGGGAAAAATACTGAAAGGTTGTTTCCAAAATGTGAACAGTGGTCATACTGGACAGTGAGAAAATGAGTGTTTTTATTTTTCTTTAGTGTTATTCTGTATTTTTCACATTTCTATAATAAAGGCTACTTTTATAATTTACTAAACATCATATACAATACAAGTCCTCTGATTTCTTACCATGCCATTTTTCTGAGGATACTATAATTATCACATATCATGGCGTCTCCAATGGGTCTTTGTGTCATATACAAAATTTAATCAAAACTAGACACTATTTGTTTATGTAGATCGATATTTTCATCGTAAGCAACCCTGCAACCTAGAATGCTTACTGTGACTTCGAGTGCAGTGTACAGGTCACTGGGCTTCTTGAGCTGCCTGCCTGACAGCCGGATTGTAAGTAAACCACCCCTTTCCTGATCGCTGGGAGCCAAACAGTGGCGGCATTAGGGTGTACTTCAGGCTGGTCTCTTTTGCACACTTTCTCCTTCCAGTCACTGCAGCTGCCTAGGAAACATGGATGAGGGAAGAAGCCAGGGGAGGTAGGGAGTGCTAAGAAGGGTCCTGTATCCCTAAACACAAGTCCCTGCATCACTGTCAAAGCTGTAAATGCCATCACTCAACATTTACTTTCTTGTCCTTGGGTGTTGCAGATATTTCTGTTGAAATAGTCTGTTTCCAGAAAGTAGCTTTAGGACTTTCCCCTTGAAGTTTAGTATGATGATGACTCTCATTTAATGAATGACCATGATACTAGAAGCACTCTACATACGTTACCTTACTGAATCCTCACAGTAACTCTTAGAGAGTATTATTCCCATTTGCCAGATTGGGACCTTGGAGGTTGGCAGGGCAAAGTAACTTGCCCAAGATCTCAAAGTTAGGAAGTAGAAACGGGAAAATGAAACCCAAGGATCTTTGACTCTAAAGCCTATCTTCTGAACGTTTCTTCCTCTTGCAAACTATAAACTATTGGCCAATTATAAAGAGGCCATAGTTTATACCGTAAGTATAGATTTTTATAGATTTGTGGGTTCATTTGGGTTCTGAGTCAATTAACTTCTGGTTTCTATAAATTCAAAATGAAAAATGATCTGAAAGAATTTAAGGAAATTCACACATACTAAATAGCCCATGCTATGGCTGTACCCGGGCCCTTATGAGGACAGAATCACCTTATCTGTCCATCCATTCAGGAAGACTCCCTCCCACCTTTCCTTAAGAATATTCCCATGTGTGCCTAGTTTTGTTAGTAACTGAAATTTTGAGTGTCATCTGCTCTCGGTACTCTCTGCTCTTCCCTAAAAGCCAAATAACAACTTGGAAACCCACTTCTGAACTCAGCAAAGGACTGATGGGTTTTAGCTTTGGGGAAGGTAGGGTGGTTAAACTGTAGATGAGAGACTTAAACCAAATGGAAAATTCCCTGTTCCAAATATCAAGTTGTCTCCTAATTCTTGCCCAAACATTGGATAACTTATCTTCACACAGAATGACTATTTCACACATTTTCCTCTGAAAAGGCAGATTGATAACTTCAGGCCATACTGTGTAATGAGAGGCAGGGTAGAGATGAGAAGCAATACTGTGTGATGATGCACACCATGGACTTGGGGCCAGATTGCCTCGGGCTGGTCCTGGCTGAGTCCTCAAAGGTTTGTCTGAGGATTCAATGAGTAACAGTTGTAAAGCAGTTAGAACAGTGTCTGATGCATTAATAGTGTTATTTAAGTGTCAGCCATCATCACTCATCATCAGACTATAACAATACTAACAGATCACTTAACAGGGCCTACTGTGTGCCAAGTACTATGCTAGACCTGTTATATAGATCATTTAATTTACTGTCACCCTAGGATTAAAGAGTATGACTCTGTTCTGTGATTTAGCCTAAGTAACTTGCGCAATGCCTCACAGGAAGTGGTGGGACCAGGATTCACCCCAGGGCTGCCTGGGCCTGCATTCTCTACGTTACATATGAACCATGGTGCCTCGTTCGTGACAAGTGCTTGATAAATGTCTGTTGATGATGGTCAAGATTATGACAACCGAGATCTACTATCTATCAAACGATAGTTTCTATCGAATGCTTGTTTAATTTTAAGGCAGCTGACACGAAAGGAAAGAAAAAACAGCGTCCAAAACCATTTAAAAAAGACAAGCTGTGAGGTCAGTTTCTATTAATATACTTCTGCCAAAGAAATTATTATATAAACTATAAAAGGCTCTTTCACACTGAACAGGACATAGTTCTCAAGGCAACATCCACCCTTTGGAAAGAGGTTTTAAAATGTCACAGCTGCTCCTGAAGCCACAAGCCTTGCACTTCACAGAGCATGGAAGCACAAAAGGGAGATTCTGGGAAGCAGCTCCTCTGCAGTGACAAGAGATCTGTCGGGCACTTCAGTGACACATTTATTGCAGTAACACCAGGCCACCAACCAAATGGGCTAGAACAAAAGACTGCTCTGGGCACTTTGGGAGGGTTCCAAGTTCTAATACTGGAGCAGGACTTTTATGGGATTTTGTAAACCCAAAGCAAGCACCTCAGCACAGAAGTTTCAAAGATAATCTGTAGTATCTGCTGGGTGGGTGATGCATACGTGCTAGTCCAGTTTCCTCAACATGATCCCTTTAATTCTTGACTGAAACATAAAAGGCTTTAGTATGCAATTCCTTAACAACAGAGAGCCAGCTGAGGGTGCAAATCCAATGGGAAACAAGTGCAGAAGCCCAGAGAGAGAGGAGCCATACCACCGCCTCCATCACTCTGTGCCTTATTCCTAAATTCCCATGGGAGAAACTTCCTTCAGCCCTTGGAAGCAGGATGAGTTGTACTTCCTTGGAGCAATCAATGGGCTTACTCTTTTGTATTTTTAGACACTTGGACATAAGTCATGTAACTAACTGATACTGTGTCCCTTTCTCCTTTGCCCATTAGGAAGTTCAGCACTAAATGTGTGACCCGACTGTGATGACTGGACACATGT